ATATTTATAATAATTCACAATGCTTCATCTAGATATTTAATGTGTCGACTAGGGCTAATTTGTAGGCAAAGGTAATCAGCAAGCGGAAATAAAAATAATCAGAAATATATAACAAACCACAACACATCTTAGTTATTTGGATCATTGATGACGTATATTTTGCGAAGTGATCGGTTATCAAGAAAAGCCGATACAGTGAGCCTAGTTGAAAATCAAGCCCAGCCAGTTACGTTCATTTTTTTTAAGCGTTTCACCCCAAGCAAGGCGGGAAGCCACTAGGACGCAAGGGGTTAGAGAAAATTTGGAGCAAGATCAGACAGGTGTGATAGAAGAAAGGATGAGGAGAAGGGTAGTGGATAGATCAAGGAAACTGCAGATGTCGATTGACATTACATTTGAATAGCTGGAGATTATAGCTCTCAGGGAAACTGGAATAGGGAAGGGAGTTCCACAGGTGAGAGGTGCGAAACATGAACCTATTGGAGTAGAAGAGACGGCCACACTTAGGAGTTTCGACAGTGACGGAGTGAGAGCGGGATGCCAGCCTCGTCGGGCGCTTGAACTCATGAAGTCTGGGAACCAGCGAATGCAGCTCCTCGGAGCAATTGCCATGAAAGTATTTGTAAAACAGACAGAGGAGACGGCGCGTCTGTGAGAAAGTGACTGTAGACGAGATGCCAGATCAGGTCCCTGCGAAGATGCATTTAGAAAAGGCTGTAATCCATATCTTCTCCCATTGAGCTTTTTAGTCTTTCGTGGAAACCAGTCTATGAAAAGACAATTTCTGAATTAAAATGCTTGACAATCTACACCTAATAAAGTAAAAAAAGTATCATATGTAGAGTCATGATCGTTTACACCCTCAAGATGCATAGCATAATTGCCCCTTGAAAAGTCATGTATCCTCCTTTTCTCCGTTTAGCTATGGGTTGTATATAGTAAAGAAGACTGGGCTATCTAGATTTCGGTAATAACCAGACTAAGAGGAGTTGCCCGAACGAGAAACCACTCAATTATCTTCCGCAAGAAATTTACAGGTAATAACGTAAAAGCAAGTATGGAGGGTGATGATCGCTTATATTCATAAGGGACATTGAATGAATTCTTTCTTCTCCTCACAGGTATAATTAATTAATATCGCAGAGAAGGCTCTCGAGCCCTGGACAGCAGCTTGTCTAAGAGAAGAACACTAAATTAAAAACTGTGGAGAATACAAAGGAAAACATCTTACTATAGTTCCTTAAATTAACGTAATTTAACAGATAACGAAGAAAAATAACGTGTGTCGAGCAATGATTGCCCACGCTCTGAAAAGATATGACATTTTCAAAAGTAATATGTACATGACCACTCATTCATTAGCAGAAAATCCTGAATAATTAAGCAAAATGTATAATAAAAGGATTCATGCAAGATATTTAAAAAAAAAAAAACTGTAGTCTAAGATTGATGCTATGACTAATTCTAAACAGTGTAAGTATGAAAGTTAAGCTCCACTAAAATTTAGAATTAGTGACAGTTTTTTATCTTAAAATTTGAATAACTCAAGAATAATAAAATTCAAAATTTGAATAACTAGGATTTAACTAAAAGGAACATTTCAGAAGTGATTTTTTTCCCAAATCCTCACCTCTACTCACCTACGCTTTGCAATGAACGATTCTTGACAATTTTTGTTCGCTGTAGAGAGCTTTGAATGGGAAAAATTTCCTTAATGAAGAATATATTCAAGAGTTCATCGGCTGTTTTTTCATATCAGACCCTGTTGAATGTTCCCCAAAATGCATCGAAAATATTCCCGGTAAGTGGCAAGAAATCATTGCTAATAATAGTAAATTTGTAATTGAATAACATGTACATAAAATTTTTGAAAAATATTTTTGAACACAAAAATATGGCACATTGAAACAAAAGAAATAAAAATAAAAGAATGACTTGTGAAATATTAATAAGAGGTTAAATTTAAAAATAAACGAAATTTCCATGTAACTCTTTTATTTCCACTGAAGAAGAAAAAATGCATATATGTCAGGTTGCAACATAGAAATCTCCCCACATTTTATGGCAATGCATTTTGGGTATCGTTCAACGAGCTTATTTATTCCTTCCGAAAAGTAGCTTTTCGGTTACTCATGAAGTCTACCCCGTTTGCTTATTTAGACACCCAACGCGCACACACTTTACGGTATTCCAAGTTAGCATGCACTAGGGGATAGATTCTGATATATATTTGCTGATCACTTTTGCTGCCACTTGTGATAGCATAATTCATCTGTCATCCCCGATGAAGCCATTCACCTTCTGGATGTTTCCTTCATTACCTGCTGTAAATATGCGATCGGCTTTCGTCTTTTACTCATCTTTTTGGGGCTTTATATCATTTTACCGGCTCGTACGCTTTTCGTCCATTCATACTACCCCAACACCCAGCAAAGGATTCTCGCAGGTTTAACACCCTCTACACACAGAAAAAAATGATGGTTCACGACGGGTCAATCACTGAGTGGAGCGTCCATACGTCTGACTTCATTGCTCCCTGCCACTCGACTGAACGATGCAATGCTGAACGCGGTTATTTGTCCGTTATCACACGCGCACGGGTGGCGTCAGTGAGTCTTTTTGCTTTGTACCGGGTGATTTCAAAATTGACTTTTAACCTCGAAATAAACGAGAATGCTTTGTAGCAGATATTTAAATTGATTTTGCATAATTTGACAAATTTCCATATTTATTTCAATACCGTTTTTATATTGTTTGCATTTCAGGTTTATGTCCCTCCATTCTTTCTTGCCTTCTCTCCCCGCCTCTATTTCTTTGTTTTTTTCAGCATCCCTCAATGATTAATAATTCTGGCTTTGTATCTATACTTTTGTAACTTTTGTCTAAGACACCATTTTCACCTATGCTTGCCTCTATTAAATTCTTACCTCAGTGATACATCCACTAGAAATATCTTTTTAATAATATATAATATTTCTGTTGTCTTTTCGATAATTGATAATGACATTTTTGGGCTCGAGATTTATAATACAGCAATAAGTTTTAGTAAAGACTTAAACAAATTCCGAGTGGAAATTAAAAATTTTCTCTGCATGACGAAAGTTATTTTAAATGTTTCTGATATCTAGACATTTATTTTATTTTTAAATCATTTCATTACATGCAAGGAAATAAAGCCACTGCGACACAAGTGAAAGGGATCTGTCTAATGATTAATAGAGAGCAGCTTCGTTTTGTAGGTGTTATAATTAACTGGAGATCAACAGCCCTCTCACTTTACAACAAGATCAGGATCTTCAACATCAACGTCAAGTCGGTCTTCCTTTGCGGCTCAGAAACCTGGCCGGTAACCAAGACCAACATCCACAAACTCCAGATATTTACCAACCGATGTCACAGGAACATCCTCAATATAAGCTGACCGGAAGTCGTCTCTAGCGATCAACTGTGGGACAGGACCAGACAAGCCCCAATGGAGATCGACATCAAGAAACAGAAATGGGGATGGATCGGCCACACATTCTGCAAGACTACTTCTAGTGTCACCAGGCAGGAAGGCCATTGAATGGAATCCACAAAGAAACGGAAAGATGGGTTAACCAAAACAGACTTGGTGCAGAATTGTTGAGGCAGAGGTGAAGCCAGCCGGCATGACATGAGCTGAAAAGCGTCACCCAGAACCGTGTCCGTTGGAGATGTGTTGTTGCAGCCCTATGTTACCGATGTTACCCAAAAGAATTAAGAGGCACACACACACACACACACACATATATATATATATATATATATATATATATATATATATATATATATATATATAAAAAGCCGATACTTTGCCACAGAGATAACAGGCAGTAGGTCATATTATGAGATCAGGTGCCAATTTGAAATTGTCGAACTAATCAGACTTACTGACTTACTATCGGGACAGGAGCAAATGGTTGTATCATCAACATAGAGACAAATTGAGAACTGATTCCTGCAAGGTAATTGATGAAAGTTAAAATCAAATTAGGTCCAATGAGGTCCAAAATCTTTTTTCTCTTCTTCTTAATCTCATCATGTGAAGTTTCTTTATTGGGCGTATGAATTACCCCAGTTTCATCAGGTCTTTACTCAAACGTGCTGACAAATTGCGGGTTGGTAAGAGTGATCTTTTTAGCTTCCGTTCCTCAAATCTAATTACGCGAAACTGAAGGTAACGAATCCGACTGAATTCGAACACGGATCTTCGATTCTCATTCTGAGTCGCCTTCCTTACACTACCCAAACATCGAAGCTTATAACACCTAGTATAGTATTTTTTTACTATTTCGTTTAATTTATATATTGATTTCTATTTATATTTGTATATTTATTTATATTTATTTATTTGTATTAATATTTATTATTTAATATAAATTTTTTATTATTATTTGTTATTATAAATTTGTAATTGTAAATTTCTTATTAATTTGTATTATTATTTCAAATTAATCATTATTATTTGTTATTATTAATTTTTTTATTATAATTTGTTATTAGTTTTTATTATTATTTTTTCATTATTATTTGTTATTAAAAATTGTTATTATTTGTTGTTATAAATTTGTTATTAATTTTATTATGGTTTGTTAATATTAATTTTTTTATCATAAATTTGTTATTATTTTTTGCTGTTATAATTTATTATTATCTGATATTATTATTATAAATTTCTTATCATTATTTGTTATTATTATTTTTGGTTATAAAACTGTTTTTTATTTATTTTTTGTTATTATTTGTTATTTTAAATTTGTTATTATAAATTTTACTAACTGTTATTTATATATATTTTTATATTTATATTTGTATATTTATATTTACTTGTATGTTTATTTGTATATTTATTTCGGTCTTTTACTGCTTTGCCCTATTTAAAAATAATATATTCAAAATGTGAAGGTTTTCTACTCTTATCAGCTCAAAAGTTTCGTACGGCACGTGATATTTAACAAATATTGGATTTTTATAATGGCTTATGAAAGTTGAAACTGCTCATACATTTGAATAATAGAAAATGTGAAGGCTAATTCTGTAACATATGACTCCAACGGTGTAGTGCCTGTAGAAGAATAAAAAAAATAAAAGAAACAGATATTAGCTCTTAGAAAGGAAAGGGTTAAATTTTGAGAATACATGATAAAGAAAGAAGTCATGAATAATTTAACATATAACAACTGAAAGAAAATAAAAAACAATATTGAACAATTGGATGAAAAGAAAAGGAAAGCTGTCAGAAAAGAGTAACGGTGAGAGAGACAAGAGAAACGTCGTTGCTCATGAGCGTTTTCGCCCTTAAGGGGGGAGTATCTCATAGAGAAATATAGATTTGATTTAATCATATTAAACCTGATAATGGATAATTTCTATTAAAGCATCTGCTTCAAATATCAGACATTTTCAGGCCAATAAATTCAGTGAAGTATAATAGGTATGAAATTGGTTATAATACTCTGTTTGTTTCGAACAGATGGTTTCAGATCGATTGTCATAATGGCAGAGAGGACGGAAAGTTCAACACGAAAGTGCGAAGGCGCAGCAGGATAGCGAAAGATGCCTTCTAGAAGTATAAAGTATCAGGATAATTTTGTAAGAAACAAAAACATAAATCATAGAGAAATGTTCCGCAGCCTCGGTCCTCTAGCAATGAATGTTGGACAATCTCCTTACTGATAAAGAAGAGAATTTAAACAAAAAGGAATATGCTTGTACAGAGAAATGGTGAGAATACCATATGAGCAACGACGAAATTTTAGAGAAAAAATAAAACAGAAATTTGTACTCAAAATCAGAAGGAGAGAGTTGAATTTCAGGACACTTTTTTAAACAATGGGAGCTTGAAAATAAATTGATACTCACGACTCACGGGGATTATAATGGTAACAGAGACTGATGAAAATTTTTTTTTCCCCCCCCCCCCAAAAAAAAAAAAAAAAAAACCCAAAAAAATTTTTAAAAAAACCCCCCCCCCCAAAAAAAATTTTTTTAACCCCCTTTTAAAAAAACCCCCCCCCCCAAAAAAAAACCCCTTTAAAACCCCCCCTTTTTTTTAAAAAAAAAAAAAAATTTAAAAAACCCCCCCCCCCCTTTTTAAAAAAAAACCAAAATTTTTTCCTTAAAAAATTTGGGGGGAAAAAAAAAAAAAATTTTTTTTTAAAAAAAAAAAAACCGGAAAAAAAAAAGGGGGGAAAAATTAAATATTTAATTTTTTAAAAGGGGGGGGAAAAAAAACCAAAGGGGGTTTTTTTTAAATTTTTAAAAAAAATTTTTAAAAAAAAAAAATTTTAAAATTCCCCCTTTTTTTTTACCTTTAAAAATTTTTTTTTTTTTGGGGGGAAAAAAAAATTTTTGGGGCCCCTTTTTTTTTTCCCCCAAAAAAGGGGGAACCCCCCCCAAAAAAAAAAAAATTTGGGGGGGCCCAAAAATTTTTGGGGGGGCCCCCCCCTTTTTTAAAAAAAAAACCCCCCCCCCCCCCCTTTTTTTCCCCCAAAACTGGTTTTTTTTTGGGGGGAAAACCCCTTTTTAAATTTTTTTAGGGTTTTTTTTTGGGGGGGGTTTTTTTTTTAAAAAAAAGGGGCCCATTGGTTTTTAAAGGGGGGGTTTTTTTTTTTTTTTAAAAAATTTTAAATTTTTTTTTTAGTTTTTGGGGCCTGGTTTTTAAAAAATCCCTTTTTTGGGTTTTTAAATTTTTTGGGGGGGGAATTTTTTCCCCCGGGGGGGGAAAAATTTTTGGGGTTTTTTAAAAAAATTGGGTTTTAAAATTTTTCCCGAAAATTTTTTAAAAAAAGGAAAAAAAAAGGGGGAAAATTTAAATTTTTTAAAAAAAAAAAATAAAAAATTTTTTTGGGGGGAAAAACGAAGGGGGTTTTTTTTTTTTTTTAAACCTTTTCCCGGAATTTAAAAAAAAATTTTTTTTCCCCCCGGGGGAAAAAAAAATTTTTTTTTTTCCCCAAAAAAACCCTGGAATTTGGGGGGAAAAGGGGTTTTTTGGGGGGGGGGAGGGAAAAAAAAAACCCCCTTTTTTTTTTTTGGGGGGGGCCCCTTAAACCGGGAAAAAAAACCCAAAAAAAAAAATTTTTTTTTTTTTTTGGGAAAAACCCCCCCCTTTGGGTTTTAAAAAAAATTTTTTGGGGCCGGGGGGGTTTTTTCCCCCCAAAAAGCCCGGGGAAATTTTTAAAAAACCCCCCAAAAAGGGGGGGAATTTTATTTTTTAAAAAACCCAAAAAAAAAAAAAATTTTCAAACCCCCAAGGGGGGGTTTTTTTCCCCCCCAAAAAAATTTTTTAACCCTTTTTTTAAAAAAAATTTGGGGAAAGGGGAAAGGGGGGGGGTTTTTCGGGGTTTTTTTGGGGGGAAATTTTGGGGTTTTAAAAAAACAATTTTTAAAAAAAATTTTAAAATTAACCGGGGGGGTCAATTTTTAAACCCGGGGGGGGGGGGGTTTTTTTTTTTTTTGGGGGGGGGGAAAACCCAAAAAAACCCCCCCCGGGATTGGGGGAAAAAATTGGGGCTAAAACCCCTTTTTTTTTTCCCTTTTTTTTTTTTTTTTTTGATTAATTTGGGGGGTTTTTTGGAAAACCTTTTTTAAATTAAAAAAGAGGTTTGGGGGGAAAAAAGGGGGGGGGAAAAAAAAAAATTTTCCAAAGGGGGAAAAAAAATTTTTTTTTTGGGGTTTTTTTCCCCCTTTTTTTTGGTTTTTTGTTTTTAAAAAAAATGGGGGAAAAAATTTTAAAAAATTTTTTGGGGGGGGGAAAAAAAGTTTTAAAAAAAAAAAAGGGGGGGGGCTTAAAAAATTTTTTTCCCCTTTCCCCCAAGGGGTTTTTTTTTTTCAAAAGGGGAAAATTTTTTGGGGTTTTTTTTTTTAAAAAACAAAAAAAATTGGGGGGAAAAACCAAAAAAAAGGGGGGTTGGGGGAAAAAACGCCCCCCCTTTTTTTAAAATTCCCCCCCTTTTTTTCCCCCAAATTTTTTGGGGGCCCCTTTTTTTTTTTTTTTTTTAAAAAAAAAAAAAAAAACCCCCTTAAAAATCCTTTTCCGGGGTTTTTCAAAACCAAAAAAAAACCCCCCCCCCTTTTTAAAACCCCGAAAAAAAAATTTTTTTGGGGGGGCCCCCCCCAAAAAGGGGCCCTTTTTTTTGGAAAACCCCCCCCAAAAATTTTTTTTTAAAAAATTTTTTTAAAAAAAAATTTTTTTTGGGGGGGAAATTTTCCCCAAAAAAGGGCCCCCGGGAAAAATTTTTTTTGGGGGGGGCCCCTTTTAAAAAAGGGGGTTTTTGGGGCCCTTTCCCCCCCCTTTTTTTTTTTTTGAAAAGGGGGGGGGTTTTGGAAAAGGGGGGGTTTTTTCCCCCTTTTCCGGGAAGGTTTTTTTAAAAATTAAAAATTTGTTTTTTTTGGGGGGTTTTGGGGGTTTTTTTTTAAAAATTTTTTGGGGGGAAAAAAATTTCCCCTTTTTTTGTTTTTTTTTTTAAAAAAAACCCCCCCCCTTTTTAAAAAATTATTTTTTGTTTTTTTCTTTAAAATTAAATTTTTTTTTTTTTTAAAATTGGGGGTTTTTTTTTTTTGGGGGTTTTTTTTTTCCCCCCTTATTTTTTAAAAAAAAGTTTTCCCCCCAAAAAATTTTTTTTTTTTTTTTTTTTTTTAAAAAAAAAAAATTTTTTTTTTAAAAAAAAAAAAGGACCAGGGGTTTTTTTTGGGCCCTTTTTTTAAAAGGGGGGAAAAAATTTTTAAAGGTTTTTTCGTTTTTTGGTTTTTTGGACCCCAAAAAAAGGGGGGAAATTTTTTTTTTTAAAAAAAATTTTTTTTTTTTTTTTTTTTAAATTTTTTTTTTTTTTCCCCCCCCCAAAAAAATTTTTAAATTTTTCCTTTTTGGTTTTTTTTTAAAAAAATTTTTAAAAAAAATTTTTTTCCCCCGGGTTCCCCCACTTTTTTGGGAACAAGGTTTGGGAAAAAACCCCCCCTTTAAAGGGGTTTGGGGAAAAAAATTTTAAAAATTGGGGGTTTAAATTAAAAGGTCCCCACCCCCAAAAAGGTTTTAAAAAAAATTTTTTTCCCCAAAACCCAAAGGGTTTTTTTTTAAATTTTTTTAAATTTTTTTGGGGAAAAAAAAATTTTTTTCCCCAAAAAAAAAAAAAAATTTTTTTTTTTCCCCCCCCCCCCCAAACCCCCTTTTTTTGGAAAAAAAAACCCAAAAGGGAAATTTTTTGGGGGGATTCCAAAGTTTCCAAAATTTTTTTTTTTTTTTGGGGCCCCCCGGTTTTTCCCCAAAAATTTTTTTTTTAAAAATTTTTTTTCCCCCTTTGGTTTTTTAAAACCCCCCTTTTTTTTAAAAAAAAAAAAAAAAAACCCCCCGGGGGAAAAAAAACCCCCCAAAAAGGGCTTTTTTTTAATTTTTTTGCAGGTTTTTTTTTAAAACCCTTTTTTAAAAAAAAACCCTTTTTTTTTTTTAAAAAAAAAGGGGGAAAAAAAATTTTTCCCCCAAATTTTTAAAAAAAAAATTTTTAAAATTTTAAAAAAAAAAAAATTTAAAAAAAAATTCCCCCGGGGGAAAAAAAATTTAAAATTTAAAGGGGGAAAAAAAAAAAGGGGGGGGAAAAAAAAATTAAAAGAAAAAAAAAAAATGGCCCTTTTTCCCCCAAAAAAAAAAAACCCCAAAAAAAAAAAAAAATTTTTGTTAATTTAAAAATTTTTTCCCCAAAAAATTAAATTTTAAAAATTAAATTTTAAAAAAAATTTTTTTTTTTTTTTTAAAATTTAAAAATTTTTTTTTTTTTTAAAAAAAAATTTTTTTTAAAAAATTTTTTTTTTTTTTTTCCCTTTGGTTTTTTTTTTGGGAAAAAAATTTTTTTTTTAAAAATTTTAAAAAAAAAATTTAAAAAAAAAATTTTTTTTTTTGGGGGCCCAAAAAACCCCCAAAAAAAAATTTTAAAAAAAATTTAAAACCCCCCCCAAAAAAAAAAATTTTTTTTGAGGAAAAAATTTTTTTAAAAAAAAAAAATTTTTTTTTTTAAAAAAAAAACCCCAAAAAAAAAATTTTTAAAAGGGGAAAAGGGGGGGAAAGGGGTTTTTGGGGTTTTTTAAACCCCAAAAAAGGGGGTCCCCCAAAAAAAATTTTTTTTTTTTTTCCCCCAAAAACCCCCTTTTTAAAAAAAAAAAACCCCCCAAAAAAAGGAAAAATTTTTTTTTGGGGGGTTTTTTTTTTAAAAAAAAAAAGGAAAAAACAAAAAATTTAAAAAGGTTTCAAAAGGGGAAAAAAAACCCCCCCAAAAAAGGGTTTTTTTTAAAAAAAAAAAAATTTTTTTTTTTTTTTTTTAAAAATTTTTTTAAACCCTTTTTTTAAGAAAAAATTTTTTTTAAAATTTTTTTTAAAAAAAAAAAAATTTTTCCCCCAAAAAGGGGAAAAAAAAAGAAAAAAAAAAATTGGAAAACCCCCCAAAAATTTTAAAAGGGGGCCCCCCCCCCCCTTTAAAAAAAAAATCTTTTTTTTTTAAAAAAAAAAATTTCCCAAAATTTAAATTTTCCCCCCCCAAAAAAAAAAATTTTTTTTAAAAAAAAACCAAAATTTTTTTTAAAAAAAACCCCCTTTAAATAAATTTGGGGGAATTAAAAGGGGGGGTTTAAAACCAAAGGGTTTTTTAAAAAAAGGGGGAAAAGGAAAAAAAAGGGGGGGTTTAAAATTTTTTTTAAAAAAAATTTTTGGGGCCCCCTTTTTTTTTTCCCGCCTTTGGGGGCCCCAAAAGGGGGGAAAAAAAAAAAAAAAACCCCCTAAAAAGGGGGCCCCCGGTTTTGGGGAAAAATTTTTTTGGGGTTTTTTGGGGGGCCAAATTTAAAGGGGGTTAAAAAATTTTTTAAAAAGGGGTTTTTGGGTTTGGGGCCCAAAAGGGGGGGAAAAAAAAAAAATTTTTTTAACCCTTTTTAAACCAAACCCCGGGTTTTTTTTTAAAAAAATTTTTTTTAAAAAAAAATTCCCCGGGGGGGAAAACCCCCTTTTTCTTTTTTTTTTTTTAAAATTTTTTCTTTGGGGAAAAAAACCCCAAAAAAAAAAAAAGGGGGGAAAAAAAAAAAAAAAGGGCCCTTCCAAAAAAAAAAAAAAAAAAAAGTTTCCAAACCCAAAAAAAAAAATTTTTTTTTTTAAAAATTTTAAAAAAACCCGGGGGTTTAAAAAAAAGGGGGGGGGGGGGTTTTTTTTCCCGGGGTTTTTTAAAATTTTTTTAAAAAAAAAAATTTCCCCCCTTAAACCAATTTTTTTTCCCTTTTTTTTGGGGGGTTTTTTTTTTTTAAAAAAAAAAATTTTTTTTTCCCCCCTTTCCAAAAAACCCAAAAAAAAAGGGGGCCCCTTTTTGGTTTTTTTAAAAAAACCCCAAAAAATTTTTCCAAAATTTTTTTTAAGGGGGAAACGGGGGCCCCCTTTTTTTTTTCCCCCCTTAAAGTTAAAATTTTTTTTTTCCCCCCTTTTTTTTTTTGGGCCCCCCCGGGGGGGCCCCCCAAAAAAATTTTCCTTTTAAAAAATTTTTTTTAAAAAATTTTTTTTTTTTAAAAAAAAGGGGGGTTTTTAAAAAAAAATTTTTTTGGGGGAAAAAAAATTTTTTTTTTTAAAAAAAAAAGAAAGGGGTTTAAAATTTTTTCCCCCCCTTTTCCCCCACCCAAAAAACCCCCCAAAAAACCCCCCAAAAAAAAATTTTTAAACCCTTAAAATTTTTAAAACCCCTTTTTTTTTTTTTTCCCCCCCCAAACCCCAAAAAAAGGGAAAAAAAAAAATTTTTTTTTAAAAAAAAAAACCCCTGGCCCCCCCCCAAAAAAAATTTTTAAAAAGGGGGGAAAAAAAAAATTTTTCCCCCAAAAAAAATTTTTTTTCCGGGGAAACCTTTTTTTCCCCCAACCCAAAGGGAAAACCCCGGGCCCCCGGGAAAAAAAAAAAACCCGGGAAATTTAAAATTTAAAAAAAAAAAATTTTTTAAAAAAAAAAAAAAAAAAAAAAAAAATAAATTTTAAAAAAAATTTTTCCGGGGGAAAATTTAAAAAATTTTTAAAAAAAAAAGGGGGAAAAAAAAAATTCCCCAAAAAAACAAAAAAAAAATTAAAAAAGGAAAAAAAAAACCCCCAAAAAAAAAAATTTTTTTAAAAAATTTTTTTTCCTTTTTTGTTTTGTAATTTTTAAAAAAAAATTTTTTTTTTTCCTTTGGCCCTTTTTTTCCCCTTTTTTTTTTTTTTTTTTTTTAAAAAAAAAAAGGAAAAATTTTTTTAAAAAAAAAAAAAATTTTTTTTTTTTTTTTTAAACCTTTTAAAATTTAAAAAAATTTTAAAAAAAAAATTTTTGGGGAAATTTTAAAATTTTTTTTTGGGGGGCGAAGTTTTTTTAAAAAAAATTTTTTTTTTCCTCCCCCCAAAAAAAATTTTTTTTTTTTTTGACATTTTCAGTCAACATTATCAATCTTCAAATCTGGGTTATCGATAGCATAATAATTATTTTGGCCTTGAATATACACAACAAATTATCATCCCTTTTCTCCTATATCTTTATTTAATTAAGAATTAATATATTTCTTTACATGGAATTTTTCATCTCAAATGTGCAGGTAAATTTCGTCCAAATTATCAATATGTTTTTGTTGCCTTTTTTTTAAGAATTTATAAAGTTTCCCTGTGTTTTATGCATTTCTCTGTCGATATATTTCCATAATTTGGTTGCTAAGTTTAAATTTAAATTGGATAACAGAACTCACTGTGGGATCGACATTCATTTGGCATTTTCTTATTTAAACGTCTCACATTTAGACCAATCAAGATCCATTAGATTGAGATAAACGGCAAATCGTTTCAGGAATGTCAGTAAATTTCCATTTGTTAAGATATTGAATTTTGGCTCTAACTTTTCTTGTACTATTGTTCAACCAAACACTGAATGTAGAAGGATTCTGAATGAGGTTTGATTTATTAACTCATTGATTTGTTTTTTTACGACTGATGACCAATGTTTGGGTTACTTAAAACCGAAATATATTTTGGGTTGTAAGTATACATTTGTGTGTGATTGAATATTGCACTAACAATTTCTTAGCAGTAAGAATGAATTTTCCAGAAACATGTCCTATGATTTAACCGATATCTAGAGGAGGAGATAAATTCTTACCATTCAACAGGTTATTTGCACGTAGGTGACTGCAACAAACGAGAGTGGAATTTGAAATTGGCTCTCAGATTTCTAATTCCGCACCTCTATCCATTAGACCACCCACACATCCACTAAAACGAGCAAACACGTAAAAAGGTTGGTATTGAAAACTACAGCAGGGCAGCTTTGAGCTTTATTACGTGTTTTACATTAGCCTCTTTAGAAAGTGAAATAAATACGCCATAAATACTAGTTGTACTACGATTGCTACTACAACTGATAGATGTTAATTATAAATAAGATACACGTTAATCTGTTCATTTCTTTTTACCACAATCCACATCTTCTTGAATGTGTTCGTTGGGAAGATGTAAAGGGTGAAGAGTAAAAAGGGTATACTATGCGTACATATAGCATATATATAACGAAGACTTGAGATGGAAGAATACATTGGGGAGACTTATTTACAATCTTTTCTACGTCGGAGAAAATGACTGAAGTCGAGACGGCCAATCGGGATGGATTACATTATATACCTACAACATACGGTATTCAATGCTGTATTCAATGATAGATAGATGAACGGAGATTGAATAGATAGATAGATAGATGAAAGATAGGACATATATATATATATATATATATATATATATATATATATATTGATAGATGAAATAAATACAAAAGGGATAGATAGATAGATAGATAGATAGATACGAATATATATAGATACATAGAAAGATAAAAGGTATAGGAAATAGATAGATATAGATAAAATATAAAGATAGATAGATAGATAGATAGATAGATAGATAGATAGATAGATAGATAGAGATTAAACACAGATTTACAAATAAATACATATAAAATAAAGATAGATAGATAGATAGATAGATAGATAGATAGATCGACATATATATATATAGATAGATAGAAATACAGATAGGTACATGGATATAAAAAAAATATATAGATAGATAGATAGATAGAAAGATAGATAGATAGATAGATAGATAGATAAAGTACATACAAATATATATAGATAGATAGATAGATAGAGGTAGAAATACACATATAAGTACATATAAAAATATTGATATTAAATACAAAGATAGACAGATATAAAATAAAAGAGATAGATAGATAAAGATAGATAGATAGATAGATAGATAGATAGATAGATAGATAGATAGATAGATTGTTCGGAAAACCACTGAAATTGGAATAGAATTTTCCAATAAACCGACCTTAGGACATTTATCTGACATTCTATATCAGCAAAATCCCCACTCAAAGAAGATCGCCTACCTTCATCAATACACAAAAACCAAATGCTGCAAGAGAAGCCTTAAACCGGCGCCAGTTTCATTAGGGTATAAGACTAATAAAAAGCTTGGATATTCGATGTCACTCCAGTGGTGTTTTATTTCGCATTTCCGCAAAGACAGAGGAGATTTTCGAATGTTTTTTTGGCATTCTAGAATTTTGTCAATAATCAATAATGCGGCCAGCTACATATTCATCTATAAATGTGGAAATGAGGTTGCGGAAGTGCCATCGGCCCAAACAATTTTAAAAAATAACATGCCAACAGATTTATAGATAGATATCAAAACATAGACAGAAATAAACTGATAGATAGATAGATAGATAGATAGATACAGTGGTTTTACGTAGTGTGCGGAACCGGGATCTTTAGAGGTTACCCTACAGGGCTCACAAACATAAAAGCGGGCGCGCATACACACACACATGTTAGGATTTTAAAACGGACATGCTTTTTTGATTTTTATATAAATACATACAAAGAATATATGAAACAATGAGAAATAAGACCAACTATATAAAGATCACTTGCTCTAAAATATTATTTCCATCATTTGCCCAAATGTATTCGTAATAAAGATGTTCGGCGACAACAATAGAGCAGTGATATATAATTCTAGATGTCAGTTTGATGCGAAATATATTGACAGAACTAATCAGAAGATGAAGATTAGAATTGATCAGCAGTTACAACTCGAGATCTCTCGAAGACTGTATGAAGATTTCTATTGGCTTGTGAATACTTTCATTTCTGCTATGGCAGAAAATTTAATAAATAATCCGTTCGGGGCTTTGAATTTCAGCCCGAATAAGGTCACCATAATCAATAGAATACATACGGTTTACCATCTTAGAATTCTTCAGAAAATATATTAGAAAACTTAGTAGCTTCCCTCTTTAAGCAAAAGGAATGGTTGTTGGATCTAAATTTAAGATATATATATATATATATATATATATATATATATATATATATATATATATATGATGGACCTTCCCATCGTATGAGTGTGTCTCAGTTTTTATGTTTATGTTTCGTATGAGAAAACAATCCTACAATGGTTGGAAAAAAAATTGAAGGTTTAACCGGGACAGGGTTGATTTTAACTCAAATTTAATTTAAATAATTATATTGAAGTTTGAGGTTCTTCTTTTGAAACATTAGACTTCTTATGTAGATGTTTCTCTCCAAATCATATTTTTAAATAAGTAATTATATTTATTGGAATACTTTTGTATCAATTATTTTTTAAAAATAAGTTTATCCTAAAAAACCAAGGGACATTGGATTATTTTCTCAGTTGAAAAATTTTCTATATATTTTCATATATATATATATATATATATATATATATATATATATATATATATATATATATATATATATATATATCCATACCACCCTCTATGTCAACATATATAAGCTTAATCCTGCCCGTCAAACGTGTAAATTTTAAATTCATTTTCAAATTTTGAAAGTGAAATCTGAAAATCCAGAGAAATATAAAATTCCCTGGTGAAATAAATTATTACAATAGAGCCTTAAAGTGGTCTGTTTTTTCTTTAAAATAATATATATATATATATATATATATATATATATATATATATATATATATATATATATATACAGTGCGGGATGGATAAATTGTCGACTAAATCTGATATCTCATTTTGATAGATATATTTACTTAAATTACACAAAAATACCTCCAAATATTAAAGAGTAAATTTTATTCAATAAAGTCCCCACTGGCTTCAACCACGGCTTCTAGAAAATCTCCTGCATCTCTTCTGGACGATCTCCTTGTTTAAGTTGGGGAATTCCGCCATGATCCTTGCTTTCAATTGATATTTCGTGTTATAAGGAGTTGTCTCTCGCTCAACTGCGCCTCACATATATAATCAAGAGGGTTTCAATTTGGTGAGATATGTAGCCAGATGTAAGGCCTGATGTCGCAGTAATTGTCTGACTGCCCTACTGAGTTCTCCTGCTTGTGTGGCATGGTGCCGAGTTCTGTTGCCAGACATACGGTCTTCCAGTTGCCGCCCTCTTGAAACATGGCAGCCTTACCTCATCAGTGCATTTGCTGTACGCCTCTGTGTTGAGTCTGATGGCCTCGCTGACAATTCTTGAGTACTTTGCTTATCAGAATGATAAAACTGAGTTTTCCTAGCTGCTGTCCCTTCGTAATCACCCATTTAACTCATCCAGCTGTTTCCGATTCTTGTGTACCGTTCTCAGATTGACACCCAAACACTCTGAAAGGTTCGTATTGCAGCTTACGGCGCGAATGCCAAGCAGTATGGAATGGAATTTCAGAGATATAACAAAAAGGTATTTATTTAGAGCTACAAAGGTGTTATGGGATCTTACCCATAATAATAATAATGGACTATTTCATGCTTAATAAAAACTGCGCCTCAGGAGTAGGCAAGGAGCCAGTCGCTCGTCTTGAACGACGTGTTCAAATAGATTTTTCGGTTGTTAAAACTCTGCCTTCGGGGGGAACTGAAATCGTCAGTGCTCAAGGCTTCGCCGAGGGGCGGAGTCTCGTTCGAGAATCTCGTTCAGGGAGGTAAACCGGCCCTGAACCCGTTATATACGGGTTCAATGGGCATATTTTGGGGCTGAGCCCACGGGCTCGGAGATCCCACGTTAAAAAGGCCTTGTGCCACATGAAACCCTCGTGGTGGGGTGAATGAATATCGTCAGTCACTCACTTTCTCGACCGACAGTTCGGTTGAACTCTCTGCCTCCGGGCGGAGAGGAAACCGAACGAGGCTACGCCGAAGGGCGGATTCTCTTTCGGTGAGGTAAACCGACCCTGAACCCATTTATACGGGTTCAATGGACATATTTTTGGCCGAGCCCACGTGCTCAGAGATCCCACTTTAAACCGGCCTTGTGCCACATGACGCCCTCGTGGGGGGGGGGGAATGAATATCATCAGTAGTTCAAGTCGAGTCATTAGTTCAATTCAAGTCAGTCAGTCGAGTCAGAGGCAGTCGCGTTCAGACAATTACTGCAAGACATTGGAATAGTGATACAGGTCGAGACTACATTGTTCTCTCTACTAAACCTGATTGTTCATACTAACACTTCTACTTCTCTGTATATATTCCTGTTTGTAATATATCTGTGTTATTCCATACCTGTGTTCGAGTTCTTCTTTATTGGTTCTACCTTGGACTATCACCGGGATACAAGGAACCGAACCACAACAAAAGGACAAGAAATTGTGGTGAGCCATGATCGCCAACGTCTTGAAGGGCAAATAATAATAATAATAATAATAATAATAATAACTGACCCAAGATCAGGGTTGTTTTCTTATTTTACGTGTCGTGCCCCTTGTGCGATCAAGGTTCAGTACAACTTCCTGTCCTTTGTAGCTATAATCACCGTTTGATTCATTCTTGCTGGGTACGTCATTTGATAATTCCCTCTTCTTCTCTTGTCTTCATTGATTTTTTTTCTGCGACTATTAAATTCTTTGGACTTCCTGATTTATCCCTGAAAGGTGAGTTACTTCTTGCCGATTATAATTATAACTGCCCTGTCTTCCTTAAAAGTTCTTGTTTTTACATGTTCAGTAAATAGTATGATGAAAACACTAGCGCGAATATATTGAATACGCTCAACTGCAACGGTTTATTCTTCACATTAAAACCTAAAAAAGCATATCATAAGCGGTATAAATCATATAATGACCACATATTAAAACATTCTACAGATTGGCTAATCAAACTTTTCAGTTTGATCTGTGGATCAGCTAGGGCAATGATATATACTCTTTCAGTAAAAACAAAGAACGGCATCCTAGGCTCATTGATTGATTTGCATTTTAAGGCTTGTCACCCTGTTGCAGTATATATAAAACCAGATTTTATTTTTTTTAATTTTAAGAATTCATTTGCTGTTAATAATGATTTACTTATACATATCCTACTAATTTAAACCATAGCAAGGAGGAAAAGAAGTGTATCCATATTTCCCCAAGTATATTTGCACGCAAGTGAATATAATGAACTCGAGTCGAATTCGAACTTGACTATACTATTGACAATTCCGAGACGTTATTCATTGCACCACTCGCACACCCTCGCTTACATTAGCTGGTCACACATCGTGGTCACTCATCTAGGTACTAACCAGGCTCGTCGCTATTTAAATTCAGTGATCATACGGGAACTGTCGGTTCAATTTTTTTATGGCCGGCATCAGTGGGATAAAATAACAAAATAATCTACTGATGTATGATATCTAGTTATCTCATAACAATGAACACTTTCACCCACGCAAGGCGATAAAGCCAACACGACGCAAGTGTGAAATATCCTGAATAAAAAATAAACATTATTCAGGCGAGAGGTCAATAAAAGTAGACAGAAGATTGCGATTGATATTGTGTTTGAGTTTTTGACAACTAATGTTGACTGTAAGCAAAAAAAAAAAAAAAAAATCCTGAAGAGTGTTCACCAAGCGAGAAGTACGATGGAAGGAACTGTTAGAAATTAACGTTACGTCTAGCAATTTTAACTGTAAAACTGTTGTATAGGAATAAAATAAAGTGTCCTGCCGACACTGGAGTTTGAACACTGATCGCCAGAGAGCAAGCACAGGAGATCCCATTATTAAATTAAGTGAATCACGTGACTATAGGGGAAACGCATAAGTAGGAAGTGGCGTGACGCCCTAACGATCACTATTTCTATATTATCCTCTATTAATATACGGTTCGCTATTCTCTGTACTGTTCACTATTTCCTTATGCTGTTCACTATACGGATTCCTGTTCGGTGGTTACTATTCGAGCGAGTATTATCGAGCAAGTACTATTAGTGCGAGTGTTATTCGAAGGCGTCTGACACCAGTATTTTTCAATTCAACGGCGTTACTGTAGTTGTATCCGCGATTAAAAAGTCTCTACTACAACGAACATTTCGAAAGTGACAACGACTATTCGTTGACATTACAAAAGTGACAACGAGTGTTCGTTGACATCCCCCATAAAAAAAAACAAAACAATGATACTGTTGTGAGACCGTAACATACCTACAACATGGACTCTTCCAGGACTATATAAAGTATGCGATATAACACTCTAGAGAGAAGAAGAGGAGAGAGATTGAGAGAGTATTCTAATACCGTAGTATCAGCCGCGTACGACTACCAATATTGGACACTAGCATATAGTAAGCTCTTACACTTACACTATCTTTGTAACCTTTTTGTTTAATATATCTTTCTTACCTCTAATCCGTGTTCCGTGTTTTCCTTCCGTGGTCTCAACTTTGGGCCCACATCAGATACCTAACTGTTAATCTATTAAGGCGCGCTTAAATTCGTAAAGTCGAGGTTAACAAAGAAGCAAGCTGATTAGAACAGTAGTCACCATCAGAATGTTTAACA